CCCTGCAGCAGAACCGACAGCTTTGGTAACCAAGATTTTTTATCTTTGCTTTGGAAGCTTCTTTCTGCATGCAAGAAGAAAAAAAATAAGAATTATTGGTTATTTTATCTTTTCACGCCCAAGTATTAACTAAACTGCTAAAAGTATTACATTTACTGGAAAGCCTATCACATGGTCCTGTTTCAATGGAGCACACAGATTTTGAATTCGAATTTGAAAGACTATCTGTAAATTTAAGACTATGATGCGTAGTATAATAACAACACAATTGATTATATTTTTAAATCATAAATGAAAATTTACAAAAATACAACCATGCAAAAATTAACTTATAAGGAAATAGAAAGTATATATATATAGGAATTTAGAGCAGTTGCACATAGCTCGTTTCTGTAATAAAATACACAACAAGTATGACTTAAGCACAGAATGGAGTATAAAAAATGCATGAAGATTTAAACTAAGTTGTTTCCACATCATCAGACAAAACCAAACCAACAACAAAATGTTATCAATTCTCCAATCACATCTTCCAATCCTCCCTGCTTTAAAAAACAAAACGACAAATGAGATTTAAATTAATAATTTTCTGGGGTTCATCCCTGTTAAAATCAATAATGTGATTTTTCTGCACTGGATTTTGGTTGAGTTCATCAGAGGAACTTTGGATGTAGGTCTGGGTGCAATGTTATATAATATGTTTAAACATCTACTTGGCAAGCGCCAAATAGGGTGTATGTTATTTTGCTTATCATCATTTTCATTTATATATGGTCGTTATTTTCACACATCTGAAAATATCATATGTGGTTATCATTCTCTCTCAGTTGTGGTCATATTCACTCAGATATCGTTGTCATTTTCACTCAGGTGTGACCGTCATGCCCTGCCAGATATCGTTGTCATTTTCACTCAGGTGTGACCGTCATGCCCTGCCAGATATCGTTGTCATTTTCACTCAGGTGTGACCGTCATGCCCTGCCAGATATCGTTGTCATTTTCACTCAGGTGTGACCGTCATGCCCTACCAGATATCGTTGTCATTTTCACTCAGGTGTGACCGTCATGCCCTGCCAGATATCGTTGTCATTTTCACTCAGGTGTGACTGTCATGCCCTACCAGATATAGTTGTCATTTTCACTCAGGTGTGACTGTCATGCCCTGCAAGATATCCTTATCATTTTCACTCAGGTGTGACTGTCATGCCCTGCCAGACATCGTTGTCATTTTCACTCAGGCGTGACTGTCATGCCCTGCCAGATATCGTTGTCATTTTCACTCAGGTGTGACCGTCATGCCCTTCCAGATATTGTTGTCATTTTCACTCAGGTGTGACTGTCATGCCCTACCAGATATTGTTGTCATTTTCACTCAGGTGTGACCGTCATGCCCTACCAGATATCGTTGTCATTTTCACTCAGGTGTGACTGTCATGCCCTACCAGATATAGATGTCATTTTCACTCAGGTGTGACTGTCATGCCCTGCCAGATATCCTTATCATTTTCACTCAGGTGTGACTGTCATGCCCTGCCAGACATCGTTGTCATTTTCACTCAGGTGTGACTATCATGCCCTGCCAGATATCGTTGTCATTTTCACTCAGGTGTGACCGTCATGCCCTACCAGATATTGTTGTCATTTTCACTCAGGTGTGACTGTCATGCCCTGCCAGATATCGTTGTCATTTTCACTCAGGTGTGACTGTCATGCCCTGCCAGATATCGTTGTCATTTTCACTCAAGTGTGACTGTCATTCCCTACCAGATTTTATCATTTTCACTTAGGTGTGACTGTCATGCCCTGCCAGATATCGTTGTCATTTTCACTCAGGTGTGACTGTCATTCCCTGCCAGATATCGTTGTCATTTTCACTCAGGTGAGACTGTCATTCCCTGTTAGATTTTATCATTTTCACTCAGGTGTGACTGTCATGCCCTGCCAGATATCGTTGTCATTTTCACTCAGGTGTGACTGTCATGCCCTGCCAGACATCGTTGTCATTTTCACTCAAGTGTGACTGTCATTCCCTACCAGATTTTATCATTTTCACTCAGGTGTGACTGTCATGCCCTGCCAGATATCCTTATCATTTTCACTCAGGTGTGACTGTCATGCCCTGCCAGATATCGTTGTCATTTTCACTCAGGTGTGATTGTCATGCCCTGCCAGATATCGTTGTCATTTTCACTCAAGTGTGACTGTCATTCCCTACCAGATTTTATCATTTTCACTTAGGTGTGACTGTCATGCCCTGCCAGATATCGTTGTCATTTTCACTCAGGTGTGACTGTCATTCCCTGTTAGATTTTATCATTTTAACTCGACTGTGACTGTCATTCCCTGCTAGACATCGTTGTCATTTTCCTTATATGGTAATCATTATTCTTTAGATGTGATTTTCTTTATCAAGTATCATTGTAATTCTCCATCAGAAACAGTCGTGATTGACAAAGGCAAATAAAATCCAGAAATTTGAGAAAAATTAAAATTCCAGCACCTCAAGACACGATATCAACATCAAGTCTTGAATCCATAGTATAAATATTAATTTCATTTTGCTATACACAAATATTGTCATCAAATCCTCTCTTCTGTCATAGTAAGGCTAACAATTTAAATCCATCACTCCTTCCATCTGTCCACTGTTGCTTTTCTCTTCTTTCTATTTTCCGTAGTAATAATTCAATCAGTCATTTTCTTGTATCTGTTTTTGACCACAACTTTCCCGACCTTGTCCACTGTTCAGCATACCAGTTCTTTCACACTGGCTTCGTGTGTGTACAGCCAACATCTCTTCATAGTTTTCACTGTGAACGACTTGAGGATCTATCTTCCTTGTCTCAATTTTTCAACGGGAACATCTTCTTTGAGAATTTTTTTCTTTTTTTAAACAGTTTGGTACTATTACCAATATTAAGTCCACAATTTCTTTGAACGGCAGTTAATGTATGGTGCCATTTTAAACATTTTTGTGTTATTTTTGAGACTTTGAAGGTATATAGTGGTCCTTCACAATCAGGATATTGACAACTTCCTTTATAATATTTAAATAATTACTTAGTCACATGTAAGGTTACATGTTTGAGACCTTTAAGATATATATAGAATCAATTTAAAACAAAGTACAGAAGCATTTTCAGACCTGTAAGAATAATGCTTGACCAGGGATAATGGGTGGGGAATACTGGACCTGGGATAATGGACCTGGGATACTGGACTTGGGATACTGGACTTGGGATACTGGACCTGGGATACTGGACTTGGGATACTGGACCTGGGATACTGGAGTTCTAGGTTACTGGACCTGGGTTACTGGACCTGGGATAGTGGACCTGTGATACTGGACCTGGGATTCTGGACATGGGATACTGGACTTGGGATACTGGAGTTCTGGGTTACTGGACCTGGGATACTGGACCTGGGTTACTGGACCTGGGTCACTGGAGTTCTGGGTTACTGGACCTGGGATACTGGACCAGGGATAATGGACCTGGGATAATGGATCTGGGTTACTGGACATGGAATACTGGACCTGGGATAATGCACCTGAGATACTGGACCTGGGATTCTGGACCTGGGATACTGGACCTGGGATACTGGACTTGGGATACTGGACCTGGGATTCTTGACCTGTGATACTGGACCTGGGATAGTGGACCTGTGATACTGGACCTGTGGTACTGGGCCTGGGATAGTGTATGAGGAATACTGATGTTGGGATAATTGTACTTGAGAAAATGGACAAAGAATACTGACGCAGGGATACTGTGCCAGGAATAAATGGACCTGGAATACTGGACTGATGCAAGGATACTTCATGTGCCATCCATCAGAAATATTATCACACTGTATCTTCTGAAACGCTATTAAACCTACTTTCTTTATAATCCTTTATGGTATTGTTGAATTGTCTTTCGTTACTTCGGAGGAATCAAAGTAAGAATAAAAGGACAGCCATGTCTATTCTCTCCAGTAAAATAAGTTTAACTTTCTATGTCAACGTAATCGGTAATTGATCTGTGTCCCTCATGAGTTTTAATATTGTTATCTAGTCGGATGTCTGATTAATCAGACTGCAATATCAAATAACTTCAATCTAATCCTTCCGCATCTCTGTCATAAAAAAATCAATTTATTCTCCCACGAGTTGATTCAACAGTAGATGACAATCAAAGAGTTACTTCCCCTTTGACCATATAAATCTTCTCAAAACAGTTAAAATCAGTCCATGATTTTCTTACAATACATTTTATAATTAAACAAAACAACAACTAGCTGGACAACACAAACATGAACGGGAGCCCGATCAATAAACAATGCCAGGTTTAGAGGTATATTTGCACAGCAAATGAATTTGCAAGTCTGTGACAGTTTCTTGTATGATTTAAATGCACCTTCAATCATCCAAGTAAAATAGTTCAAACTTGCTTTAATTTTGTATCAAAATTTGGCAGGATAATTCACCTTTGCTATAGGTATTTTTAACACCATTGTAATACTTACTGAAATGGTTCATACTTTTGGTGATAGATTTTTCATGTACACTGATAAAAGTTATCATGTGTATTAAATGCTTTTAATTATCATGTAGAATATTCATTAGTATTTTTCATCAAAGTATAAAGATTTACTGGATTAAATAAGGAGTAGACTTATATCAAAATTTATGTTCACAGGGACCCAGCTGCTCAAATCTTCTACATCAAGTGACATATTCAAGACAAAAAAAATTTTGAATTCTTAAAACTGTATTTAGAAAATTATGTGAATTTCATTTTAAATTCCTGATATTGGTTTCTTTGTTTTCAGTTTTAATAATTATCTCATTAATTAACCCAAGTTATTAATCTTTCATCACTCTTTCCAATGCCACTGATCAAACTTTATTTTAAATGAAATGTGTCACTCAAACTGAAGCCTGCTTCAAAAGAGTTGCCATATTGTCTAAAGTGTACGACAGCTATTTGATCAAATACATCTAATACAGGTGGGCTTACCTTGAGAAGTCATCGTTTTCATAATTGTTGAGTTTGGGAGGAGTGCTTGGAGATGGGCTAGGTCTATCAGGGGTGGACGATGGCACACTAGCCACACTCTCAATCTTTCTGTTCACTGTTAATAATAAAACAAACCAGTGTAAAATGTATTGTTCCAAGAGAATTACCAAACAGTCTCAGGAATCTTATTTCAGAAGATCAAATCAGTATTTAGCTAGTGTACAACCAACAAATATAAAACTGTCACTTAAAAGGTCACCATATATCTGAAATATTATGTTCCTTAAAAAAAGTCATTCCAAGGATGCACAAAAGACAAGACAAATCAATAGCATCTTTCGATACAAATCTAGAATTAGATACAGGAGAGGCAGTTATTTAATCGTACATCATACAGCTGCTTTGTACTTCTAGGACTTGTCAATGATGCTACATCATACACCTGCTTTGTCCTTCTAGGACTTGTCAATGATGCTACATCATACAGCTGCTTCGTCCTTCTAGGACTTGTCAATGATGCTACATCATACAGCTGCTTTGTCCTTCTAGGACTTGTCAATGATGCTACATCATACAGCTGCTTTGTCCTTCTAGGACTTGTCAATGATGCTTTATCTTAAAGCTATTTTGTCCTTCTAGGACTTGTCAATGATGCTACATCATACACCTGCTTTGTCCTTCTAGGACTTGTCAATGATGCTACATCATACAGCTGCTTTGTCCTTCAAGGACTCATCAATGATGCTACATCATACAGCTGCTTTGTCCTTCTAGGACTTGTCAATGATGCTACATCATACAGCTGCTTTGTCCTTCTAGGACTTGTCAATGATGCTACGTCATACAGCTGCTTTGTCCTTCTAGGACTCGTCAATGATGCTACATCATACAGCTGCTTTGTCCTTCTAGGACTCGTCAATGATGCTACATCAAACAGCTGCTTTGTCCTTCTAGGACTCATCAATGATGCTACATCATACAGCTTCTTTGTCCTTCTAGGACTCCTCAATGATGCTAAGGTCAAGTAAGTGTCAAGTTTATGTGTTGTGTGCCAAGAGCATTTGCCTGGTATTATTGAAACACACTTCTGTGAAATCAGGCCAGATAACTATACCATTGGAACCATATTCTACATAGGATGTATTATCTATACTATTCTGACTCTATAGACATTTGGTGTAAGTATTAGATGTCAATAACATGGGATGACATTGTTCGATAGAGAAACAAATGCTTGTGTTGTATCGAAGTCTCACTCATCAGTTTTGGTTTATAGATTATACAGCACTTACATTTGAAATCTCTTTATTGATACCAAAGATATCATTTTTGTTCATCATAAATCTGTGCCTAAACTCTGAAGTTTATTTTAAGTTATCAATCACCTGTGACCTAATTACATATCACATTCAGACAGATCCCTGATCTACCTTGAATCATCTGCTTACATATATATCTGAACTCTTGAGCCCTAGGCCTGGACAGTCTTACCTGGAAGGAATGGGTCATGTTGAATATTCTCTGGTGGCAGGGCCTGACCTTTTAACCTTAGATGCGTTCTCACCTCTGAACTTTTGGCAGAGAGTACTGTCTTAATAGACAATATCTTACCATTTAACTTGATGTCTTGGCTGACCTTTGAACCTTATGTTTGTGCTGACCTTTGCATGTAATATCTAGTTTGCCATAGCTAGAGGTCACTGGTCCTAATAAAACTCATCTGACATTTGAACTTTAGGTCTGGTCTGACCTTTGAACCATAGTTTTGTCTGAACTTTGAATCTTTGGTCTTGTTTGCCTTACCTGGTGGGGACGGGTCCTGATGAACACTGTCTGGTGGTACGTATGTAGGTTTAGCTATTGTTAATCGTACAACTTCTTGTGTGGCTTTCAAAGCTGCAACAGCTTCTTCGTGACTCACATTTTCTAAGTTGTCATCGTTCACCTGGAACAGGAATCATGAACATTACAAAGGAATATAATCTACCAAAAACTCTTTAATTATTGTTAAAGAGTATACAGGTAGAATACCTTGATTTGTGCTCAAACTATCAGATAGTGTTTTATATAGAAGTATACAAATGCTTATACATAAATTTAAAAATGACATAAGATATTGATTATGTAAAATTAAACAAAATTTATTTTCAGAGAAGACATCATCTAAAGAGGAAATGTATCAGGATAAGTGGAAAAGTACACAATACATGACTAAAGAGAGGTAACTCTGAAATTTTTTATACAAAATTTTCTTGTATGGAAGGGAGATAATCCCATTGGGAATAGTATCACCATCTATCTGCATAGCTCGTTCAAAACAGTAACATTTAACTCAAAATCTTGGAAGTTATGTTTGTTTCTCTCATTCTAACAAAATAACTGTTTTCCTCAATTCTTTTCTGAGAGATAATCCAATTTATAAGCCCTTGTTTAAACAGAAAACAGTTTTCACCCTCTCTTTGCACCATAAAATGAGAATAAATGAAACATTTTGGTAGATGATGAATTCCTCAGGGTACTCTGATGTTTAGTTTATGCTATCTCCTTCATTTAAAATTTTCCTTTATGTGTAACAATATTCTGTGTATACATACAGCAATGAGTCTGTCTCCTACAGCCAACCGGCCGTCCTGTTCAGCTGCCCCTCCCTCGATGATTTTGGTGACAAAGATTCCATTATCTCCTGGTATATGTTGATTGCCGATACCTCCAGCAATACTAAAACCTAACCCTGTAATTCACCAGGTAAGTATGTATACTAAAACCTAACCCTGTAATTCACCAGGTAAGTATGTATACTAAAACCTAACCCTGTAATTCACCAGGTAAGCATCAGGTTAGGAATATAAATTTTATTTGTTTTACAACAATTGTGAAACAAGTTATCTTAATTTATATTAATCACCCCTGCTGGCCCAGATGCAAGTGAGCCAGGGGTCTTACTGAGGAAGGAAACCAGATTACCCAGGAAATACCCATGTGGCTGGGCAGGTGACCCCTTACCTTTTCATGTCCGTTCCAGGAATTGAACCCCGAACGACTAGATGAAAGGAGAGCGTGTTACCTCTCTGTCACCCATCCACAGTATAAGTTTAGTAAACACTATAATGGTAACACTACTTTGATATTTGTTTATTTTTCTATCCATTAAAATGTTCCTCCCGTACCTAGAATTAGCATAAGATGAAAATATTGGCTAATGGCATCTTTATTAAGCTAATACGAAATTTGTATTAGCTAAATTGAAAAATTAAGGTAATGGTGATTGATGACAAAAAAATACAATTGATCATTGTGTCATTTGAGGTTAAACAATTAGTTAATTGTATCCAATCATCGGCCCATTACTGCTGATAATGATAAAGAAATGTCATAAAGTTTCTCTCTCTCCCTCACCTCCTCCTCCTTGCCACCACCCCCATCCCCACCCCCTCCACCCCTCCCTCTATCTTACTTGAAATAATGCATATTTTCACCACTCAACTGGGGTGTAGTGTTTACAATAAACCAGAATTGGCAAAACACCTGATTAAAAAGTTCAAAAGTTAAGTTCAAAAGGGTAACCATGAAAAAAATTATCCGTTTATTAATTTCAAGAATATATACAATTATAAAATCAGTTTATATCTAGTATGTATGAAAACATTTTTGATTAATAGTTAGCCATAGTACACTTACCTTTGTTTCCCTTCACCAATTCTATCTCTAACACGTTCTCCAATGGTGCCCGAAGTCTTTTAACATACTGCAATACAAAAATCAAATGTTAGTTTTCAATCTTACACGAAAAACTAGCAACACAGCACCATTATGTTCATGTATCGATATGGGTTATTATGCAGTCTGGAAAAACTTCCTATTTAAAAAAAAAAAAAAAACAACATTGTTTTGTTCTTTCAGGTCTGTTTGTTATTTTGGCTTTTTTTCTACCTAAGAAAGCTTGGGAAAAATTATGGAAGTAGAGAACATATGGTTTACTATCTTTCAAAACATACAACCGGAGAATTGCACCACCAATTTCCTCCCTATAGGCCATCTAGTACAACTTGATTGTCTCTACTGCCACATAAATGAAACTTATACAGGTGTTTTGAGATATGTCAGCTGTAGGTCTCCGCTAATGAATCGTCCTTATAGCACCTTTGGAAGGACTGTATCTCAGTCTACTGACATGTCAGCCAATTGGTGGCCATGTACTTCCAGTCATGTGTACTCTAACAGTCCCCTGTTACAACCTGAGCGATTGGTAGACAATAAAGATTTACTGCTGTCCTGTCACTATTTAGTAAAACCACAATGGGACAATGCTCTGGTAGAAAGGAGTAAAAGATAGTATCACATGCTAATTAAAAGATTGTGCAAAAGACACACATGTGAATAGCACATCTTAATACAAATTTAAAGTCAGACTCAGTAGAGTCAAACAATTAATTAAACTGCATTAAACAGCTGTTTCGTCCTTCTAGGACTCATCAATGATGCTGAGGGCCTAAATTTTTAAGCCCAGGAGGCAACTATAAGAAAATCCGCAGCAATGAAAAGAAAAGTCAAAATCAAGACAGAGACTTGCAGCAGTCCTATAATCAAATAAATTTCATTATTTTCAAATGTCAGATAATTTTAGAACAACGTTGTGTATATTCTGAAATTCGAATGAAGTGAAACACTGATGCAAAGAGGAAATCAAGATGTCATTGAACAACAGATCCTAAACAACCAAAGTTTGGCCTTGTAGTCATTTGGCAATTCACTTCACACTTAAAGTTTACAACTTGCCTAGAAGAATAAAAAAGTAATATTTCTTTAAACAACGACAAAGAAAAAAGACAATACTGATACAGATCTCTCTATCCTAAAGAAAGTAAGATTTGAACACGATCACACACTGAAAATTCTTGATCATTAATGATATGAGAGAATTTCATAGTTTAGGAGAGAATAGACAGGATATTCTCATATAATACATTCTGAAAATTACAATGAAAGTTTCAACAAAAACTGGGGTAAAAATCCCCAAATCTGACCCGAGAGTGATCCCTAATCACATGCAATTCCTTTCTTTGTGCAGACTCTCAATTAGTATAATTGAATATGAAAATTCATGAATTATTTAAATTGCTGTGGAGAGAAATAAACCAATTTCATATTGAATACCATATTTTTTGGATTATAAGCCGCATATTTTCCCTTGTGAGTCTGGCAATCAGCTTGAATATTGGTATGTACAAAAACAGAAGAGAGAGAGAATGAAAAAAAAAAAGAAAGAAAAAAAAATCTGCATTATTACGCATGATACACACTGAAAAAAAAAAAAAAATCACTCGAGAAACGTTTTGATAAAACAAAATTAGCATACACCAGTACTGTTTTATGAGCTCCTGCCCACCATTAGTGTTTGTGACTTAAACAGATCATGTTATAACATCACTTATAATCATATACAGGATGACTAGAAAATTGCAATAAAAATTAAATTCTTCCGGGTTCAGTTCAACATCCTTTTAATATGAATGCCAATAATTTCTTCTTGACATTCATGGTTAATTAATTCACAGCAATTACAAGAAGGCATGACGGAAATTTACAGTAGACCTTTGCACCATGGTGCTGATAAGTCAAATTCTACAATGGCTACCATGTTTGTTTATTATATGAAGAAGAAATATCATTAAAATGACAAGAATAATGAAAAAAAATTGATGATAAAAAAATATTATTTTTGCATAAAGCATTTGTAAATTTTATTAAATGTTTCACTGACAATCTTGATAAATTTCCATCCATTGTTTGTTATATCAACAAAATTAGATAAAAAAAAGTGGTTACCATAGAAAAAGGTTGCTTGCGGCTTACATACTGATATTGCTTATATGCGTACAAAATAGAACAAGAGGCTCAATAGGCCTGCAGAGCTCACCTGGTATATATACCACCCAAATATCATGCCTGTAGGGCTTTTTGGTTCATGAGAAGTTGGTGGAATGTATTAACAAATTTGAACTGTGTAACCTTGAATATAAGTCAAGGTCATTTATTGTCCCAAACTTTGTTGAACTTCATCCTAGGGACATACCATCTAAATATCATGCCTATAGGCATTTCCATTCATGAGAAGAAGTTGTTTAAATGTTTTAACAAATTTGACCCCTATGACCTTGAATATAAGTCAAAGTCATTTATTGTCCCAAACTTTGTTGAACTTCATCCTAGGGACATACTATCTAAATATCATGCCTATAGGCATTTCCATTCATGAGAAGAAGTTGTTTAAATGTTTTAACAAATTTGACCCCTATGACCTTGAATATAAGTCAAGGTCATTTATTTTTGCAAACTATGCTGATCTTCAATCATAGAAACATACCATTTAAATATCATGCCTCTAGGCATTTCCATTCATAAGAAGAAGTTGTTTATTTTTGCAAACTTTGCTATCATAGGAACGCACCAGTCAAATATCATGCCTCTAGGCCTTTTAGTTCATGAGAAGAAGTATTTTAAATGTTTAATAAATTTGAACCCTATGACCTTGAATGCCATTTCTTTTTGCAAACTTTGCCGGGCTTTATCCAAGGAATATACCACCCAAATATCAAAACATTTGGTCCATTGGTTACTGAGAAGAAATTATTTAATGGAAAAAATTGACGCCGGATGCCTCGCCAGGGCATAAGCTGACTTCTGCCTTCAAACCTGGTGACCAGAAAAAATTGTTTTAAAGATAAAAATTGGCTCTGCGACTTACATACTGCTGCTACCTCTTAAAACATGGAAAATACAGTACATAGTTATTTGATTGATACAAAATGTTCCGATTAAAATATCTCCTAATTCCAGTGACCTTGTCCTTTGAACAGGAAAAACCAATCCAGAGTAAGCACATTTGATAATGAACACAGTGATATTAGCCAATAGGGATTTTTCAACAGAAACAAACCTTCTAAACATAGTAGCAGTGACAATGATTTTGACTTATTTTAGAAATTCAGCTACTGCATGCACTTTCAGTTTTTAAGAAGATGTGTGTAAACTCTGAGTGCCATGAGCCAGGCATTAATGATCTGGTTCTGTTTTAATGTCTCTTCAAGAAAGAGTTCGCGACACTGACAACACCAATGCCATATAACAGTCATTTCGCCTGTGTCATGCCTGTAACAGTATACTTTGATAGTAACAGCTTGTAAATCTGCACTGAGATTAAAGTACATTATCCGTACATATATAGCATAAAAACACCAACATTTAATTTCATTTGAAGTCTATAAAAAAAAAAATGTACAACTCTGTAAACAAATCTTCACTGACAATGAAGTGATCTTTTTTGGGGTTAAAAACTCTACAAAGATTTATAGTTATAGCAGGTCTTTAAGTACCAGCACTAATGTTCAGCTGACACTTGATATACATATATCCCATATAAAACAAAAACACTGAATAACACAAAAAAAAATTCTAAAATCAGCTACAATAAATAAATTCCTGATATCCCCCCCAACCCTTTTTTTGGTCTTATAAAACTAAACAGATGTTTCCATGGTACAAACATGATGTCTTTGTAGTGTCAAAAGTAATGCTGACTGCTATTGTCTTGATGTCAACAGTTATTGTCTGGATGTCAACTGGTATTATCTTGATGTCAACTGGTAATTTCTTGATGTCAACAGGTATTGTCATGATGTCAACTGGTATTGTCATGATGTCAACAGGTATTGTCATGATGTCAACTGGTATTGTCATGATGATCCACCCAGACAATCCTATATTTAATTCAAAAGTCTATCAGTAGCAGATGATGGTCCTTGAGTGTAGTTCAAATTTGGCAATATATAAAATGGTTTTTATTAAAAAAAAAATTAAAAATTTATGAAAAAAATTCCAAGCTTCCTTATTAGCTAGCTAGCACACCTGTCCTCTGGGACATAAATCAGGTCACCATCAGCATTATATCTGATCTCATGGTTGTGTGCCAAGTAAAATGTATGGTCAATACACAAATCTTACAAGAACAGACGGTTTTCTTATACTGATACTGTGATTCATGAAATTTTCATATCCTTGAAGCAACCTGGAACTTACTCTAAATTATTAAAGACAAATTTTAAGTATTACTACAGAATAAGGTCAATGTGACCTTAACCTTCCAGCAATGACCTTCAATCTAAGGTGTTGTTCTGAGAGTTGTATTTTCTATCTAGCATTTGACCTTTGACCAAATGACCAATTTAATCTTTGTCCCAGAATGTTGTCCTTCTTCAATGAGTGTTAAATGCCCTTTCTACACTGGCCTCAGTGTTGTCCTTTCTACCTACAACTTGACCTTTGACCTTGAGTGTTGTCTTTTCTCCCTACAATTTAACATTTGTCCTCATATGTTGACCTTTATAACAGAGTGTTATCCTTTCCCTATCTGACTTTTCTCCTCAAATGTTGACTTTAATCCTCTTTTTTGTCTAGAAATTATCCTTTGTCCATGAATGTGGACATTTTCCTTCCAGTGTGGCCTTTTCCCATTAATGTTGACCTTTACCATTGAGTGTTGTCCTCTCTACCTAAAATGTGATCAACACATCCTAACTGTTTTGGGTGTTGTCCTTTCTCCCAAAGCATTGGCCATTATCTTTAATTGTTGGCCTTTCTACCCAGAATTCAACCTTTGTAAATATTGTAAACCTTTACATTTGATGGTGTCTTTTCTCCCTGGAAATTGACATTTATCCCTTTTGACCTGTGCCTTTTGAGTTTCCAATAAGTAATATTATGTAGCAAGTCATATTTCAACTCAATTTTGAACAACCGATACCACTATCCTCACAGTATCAACAAGTATCTGGGTTCCCGAGTGTTGTCATCATTTTCGCCAAAAAATACAAATAAGAATTGACATTCAGGGTTTCTGTTTTTCATTGCAGGTTTTTACAACAAAACAAAAGGTCCCCCTACTTGTTACTGTAGAATCATTACCTTGCATGGGTGTAACAAGTTTAACTAGAAATTGTCTATTATAAACAGTTTCTAATCACAATCTAACAGCAACAGATAAACAGACTGAAGAAATCATGCTTAATACACAGAGGAATATCTGTGAAGAGGAGAGAGAGTAGTTCATCAGTATTACAATGATGTGATAAAAGGTGGACATCAAAGTACTGTACAGATGAAAAAATGTGAAAACGGGAAAATGTGTTGGGAATCAATTTAACGATCAGTCATCAGATCACCTGAACCAATCGATGATTGATTGATAATAGATTACTGAAAGGGAATTTCCTTTTCTCAGTGATAAATTAATAACATCATACATTAACGTCTGAATTACCAAAAGTTAGAGTGCTATGTACTTCAGGCTTTCTTGCCCAGAAATTTATGAAGGATGGACTCCACAATTCTAATTTGGCAAATAATAATTATTAAGGAGCATGTCGACTAACTAGTCTGATTCAAACAGACACTTGATCACGTTGTAATGTTTGTTGAGAGGATCAAGATTTGAGATGCTTTTCAGTTAATAGTAGGGAAATGTAACTGTCACCTCTTATTTACTGATGATTGATTAGGAGACATTGTAGTCTATTAATTAGTTAATTAGCATATCCAACCAATACTCAACCAAGTTGATTTATTGGAACATCACTACCTCACATATGAAAATTTCCTAAGAGCTACAATGTACTCTACGAAGAAATGGAAGATATTTTTTTATTCAAAAGTGCAGGATGGATGTTAAAAATAGAAAACGTCTGCACAACATGAATGCCCAAGCTCCAATGCATTCACAGTAAGATTGTTTGATGAATTTGTAAAATGTGACCTTTGACCCTTTACCCTTGACCAATATGACATCACATAGAACATGCTGTTTCAGTACTATGGGGTAAATATGAACCAATTTTGTTCATAGATTCTCAAGACTGACATTGGTTTGAAGGATGAAGCGATGAGACATTACATATTTGGACAATATACATGGACATGGCTCCATTTAAAATGGCAGGAGAATGAAAGATTATAGAATAAAAACTCTTACCAAAACCACCCGTGTTCCCGCTTGCTTCAGTGCGTCAACCGCCTCGGAATGTGTAGCATTAGATACATCTGTCTCATTCACCTTGACGATGATATCGTTCATTCTGAAAAACACAAACAAGTATTACAAGACTTTGACAATTCCAAAAATGTAAACAAATCGATACTTAACAGTTCTTGGCATTTTGTTCTTTTCTTCTATCTGTTATGATTACAAACTCACGTCCTACCAATAGTAGGGTCTAATAGAGATGATATTCACAGATGATTGAGGTTACTGGAAACAATCTATGCTATGAAAACTATGACAAAACAAACAGGAGCCAAAGAGATCACCATCCAATAATTCTAGGCTTGCACGAAGCAGGCAGTCAGTCCTTGCAAAATTTTATCATTTTGGTCAAGATTTATTTCCAGCACTTTGTAGAGTTGATACTATTCTCCCATTTAGTGTTTCCACCTTGTACATCATCTTGTTGTACATTTCTCCTACCGTACTGAGTGACAAAAGAAATAATGTCTGTAGTGACTGAGGCTAGACGGACTAAGTTATAAAGGGAGACTTTTAACTCTCCCAAAGAAAATGTGTTTTAAAATCAAAAGCCTACAAAGACTTGACCTAAAACAGGTTCATTTAAATCATTTGGTACAATACACAAGTTTTAATTTTTTTTTTATTATTAAGTAACAAATCTCCTGCATGAAACAAAAGTATAGCTTTATTTCAGGAGTGTTAATGTAGCATTTTCCAATGTTAACGTAATTTTCTTTACAATAACATTCAGACAGATAAGAACTTAAGCCAAACTGTTCAGACAATGAGACATTAATATTTATTTCCCTACATTGAAATTGTGAAAATCAATGGTCTAGAAAAAAGAAAAACCGGAGTAATTTGTAAATTGGTCCCGTATCACTACAACAAATAATGACCTTGTTTTTATAACCAGATGTCTTCATCAAACGCTTTGCATGTTTTCTTTGTATAGGCATTTCCAACTTGCCAAATAAAACATTAAACAAAATAGTTGTCCTTGATTTCATCGTGATGGCCCCCCAGCACGAGGTAGCCACCTTCACAGTTGGAACACGATCAAATTAACTAGCCAAGGCAAATGTTCGTTTTACTGTTGATCATGAAAAATTCATAGTTTACACGATCCACACAAAGCTGTTCACACTAAAACCAGATACAATCCCGACAATCGGGCACATTCTGTTTTATCAGAATAGATGGCCGACGGAATCCCATACCAGGAAGTCATGGCTACAAATAGCACCACAAATAATTCAACGGGCTAATTCAACAATCAATACAAGTCATACAAACATGACATTTATTGATAAGAAGTGAAAGTCAACATGGTGTTTAATTACCCTGCTGATAGTGATGAAGCCATTCAGAGAATATACCAGCATATAAATCAGTTCAATATACATTGCTTCATTTCATTGCTTTTTCAAATTTTTACTTTCTTTGAAAGTTATGTCGTCCCCAAGGCACTGCTCTACAAATAACTTTCAAAAAAAAGGGGGAGATAAATTCTGTCTGACTCTCTTCTTTTACTTAACTAATCATTCATCTTTTCCTTACTACATCAATCTTTCTCTTAAATTTAAATGACCTCCATCCTTTCGACTTCCATCTAATACTCTTTTTCTATGTGATTGAAATTCACCTGCAAATAGCTGTAAGATTAAAGACTTAAACCTGACATTCTTACCTCCCAAATTCAATAGTGACATTTCAAAATCCATTCTAAAGCTAAATGCGAAACAAGACAATGGAAGTGATCTTTGGCGTAATATATACTCTAATAATGAAAAGTCGAGGTCGTTTCTGGGAACTGATAATTTCCTGTCTGATAGAACACTTCTGTTTCTGGTGCTAATGACTGTGACATTTTTGAAAGTCTAACTCTTTACTGTAAAATTTCTTCCGTCCTGCTGTCTCAACATCATTAACGAAGCTCAAGCTGCCGACATAGGTTGCGAACTTATATCCGCTAATCCGGTCATCTTAAATTTGACGTGTAACAATAACGATAAGTAGGGAAATCAACAGGTGACATGTCTCATCACGATCTTCCCCTCGGAGACAATTCCATATTGGTTAATGCTAAACATTATATATGTCTGACACATTTCAGTCCTCAGTTCTGACGATCTCTCGTATTCAAATGATGTGACATTTACCTAACCACGCACATCATGCAAGCCATAAAGTTTAAAGTCACCAATCTCACATCCGCATCCAAATTATAATATCACTGACATTTATCTAACAAGATCAGGGACATTTTTGTACAAAAACAGATGAAATATGGGTTGATGTGTTGTGACATTTACCTAACCTTAAAAACATGATGTCAGTGACATCATGCAAGCCATCAGAAGAGAAGTCTCTTACAATGTTAAAGTGACATCAACAGTAAACCAGCTCCAATGACATCAGTCTTGTCTCTTACGCATCCTCATCAACAGTATACCAGCTAATATCAGAAGAGACTGACATTTATCTGAACAAGTATACCAGCTCCAATGACATTTTGTCTCTTACAAAATATCAGTGACATCAACAGTCAACAGTATACCAGCTCCAATGACATCAGAAGAGAGTCTTGTCTCTTACAATGTCGAGATATCAGTGACATCAACAGTAAACCAGCTCCAATGACATGCTGTCCTTACTGACATCAACAGTAAACCAGCTCCAATGACATCAGAAGAGAGTCTTGTCTCTTACAATGTCGAGATATCAGTGACATCAACAGTAAACCAGCTCCAATGACATCAGAAGAGTCTAGTCTCTTACAATGTTGAGATATCAGTGACATCAACAGTATACCAGCTCCAATGACATCAGAAGTGAGTCTGGTCTCTTACAATGTCGAGATATCAGTGACATCAACAGTAAACCAGCTCCAATGATATCAGAAGAGAGACTTGTCTCTTACAATGTCGAGATATCAGTGACATCAACAGTAAACCAGCTCCAATGACATCAGAAGAGAGTCTTGTCTCTTACAATGTCGAGATATCAGTGACATCAACAGTAAACCAGCTCCAATGACATCAGAAGAGTCTTGTCTCTTACAATGTCAAGATATCAGTGACATCAACAGTAAACCAGCACCAATGACATCAGAAGAGAGTCTTGTCTCTTACAATGTCGAGATATCAGTGACATCAACAGTAAACAAGCTCCAATGACATCAGAAGAGAGTCTTGTCTCTTACAATGTTGAGATATCAGTGACATCAACAGTAAACAAGCTCCAATGACATCAGAAGAGTCTAGTCTCTTACAATGTTGAGATATCAGTGACATCAACAGTAAACCAGCTCCAATGATATCAGAAGAGAGACTTGTCTCTTACAATGTCGAGATATCAGTGACATCAACAGTAAACCAGCTCCAATGACATCAGAAGAGAGTCTTGTCTCTTACAATGTCAAGATATCAGTGACATCAACAGTAAACCAGCACCAATGACATCAGAAGAGAGTCTTGTCTCTTACAATGTCAAGATATCAGTGACATCAACAGTAAACCAGCACCAATGACATCAAAAGAGAGTCTTGTCTCTTACAATGTCGAGATATCAGTGACATCAACAGTAAACAAGCTCCAATGACATCAGAAGAGAGTCTTGTCTCTTACATGTTGAGATATCAGTGACATCAATGGTAAACAAGCTCCAATGACATCAGAAGAGAGTATCTGGTCTCTTACAATGTTGAGATATCAGTGACATCAACAGTAAACCAGCTCCAATGACATCAGAAGAATAACCCTAACACAGAAACCATGCCAGAGAATTACACAAAGTCTATGATCAAGAGATTTGGGACAGGGCAACATGTTCACTCCCTGGCTTATATCTAGAAGCAGGACTACTGGGCTTACTACAGTGGCAAAAAAATAACATTTCATTGACACTGGTTAGCAAACCACAACAAAACTGGATGGGCTTATTATCAGACATGAGCGTATTACATACAATTTATTTCTTGATTACGATAAAGACCGAAAAATAAAAAAAATTAAAAGCTTTTGTTGCCTCTGTGGGTATCTGTACAAAGCACACAATTTGGTCCTAGAACACAAACCCAACATTTGACCTTAAATGGATGGTTGGGTTATTTATTACACAACCTTATCTAGTCACTAATCCAAAAAAACTTAATGGGTTACTTAAAGTTTACTTCCCCATTAGCAAAGAAAACATTTTTTTATTTCAAATAAACATGTTCCATTTGCTAAGCATTGGTTCGCTGTGAACGTCCCTACGTAAGCTGAAGTGGACATGATGGTATTCTTGTTTCTGCAAAACATCCCACATGGAACATCCTGACAGGGAAACCTTTGGTATCAGAATCCTTTTAGCCATCAGTGAGAGTTGTTTAAAATGCCGCACTAATTCAATTGTACATGATTTAGGAACCAACTGCACACCACAGGGAGATAGCACTGATGTACGTCACAACACAAGCCAGACAAAAGGTAGAATGGGCCTGAAAGTACAGGCAGAGAAACAACGAATACTTATCCTGTGTTAAATCTAACATCAGGTTTAAAAAGAGAGAGGATATTTCTCTATATCAAATTTACTGCCATTAAGATAGGTACGACACAGTTATTAAATCAGTGCAACACACAGGATAGTCTTGTCCTTAGATTTTGATTTCTTAAAACATCAGAAGTTCTATGATGATGAATGTCCACTGGTCAGGATACCAATAAAGTACTACTGCACAGTATTGGTGAAAGGCCACAACATCAAACAATACATCAGCAATGCCATTAAAGACCAAGAGTGGGGAAGAGACAGAACTTTTGCTGATGACCACCTTGATCAGGTGTAGAACATGATGTGATGATACTATGGGGTAAATATGAACTATACCTGTTGAAAATTACGATATGGCACTGTGGCACAGTGAAGAGGATCAACACTATATGACCACCATATGACATGCCTCATTGAACATTGAGCGATATGACACGCTTCACCAAACAATGAGCAAATTATAACAGGCCTCATTAAACAATGACCAATATGACATGCCTCACTGAACAACGACTAATTAATTAATTCAAGATGCTTCAATGAACATGACCAATATAACATGCCTAACTGAAGGTTGGTCAATATGACATACATCACTGAATATGACCAAAACGACATGGTTCAATGAACAAAACACACATAAAAGCCACATGATAAACCATGGCACTTAATGAAGATCAGATGTTGAGTAAAGCTCTCCTAGCCATAGGATCATAGACAGTATACAACACACGTAGAAACAGTATACCCATTACTGTCCCCTATCAAGGGAGTGTCACAAGACGTGAACAACACCTTCTCAAATCTCAGACAGAACCTTAATGTGTTCTAACTCTCTCAGCTTATTAGCCAGAGTTCAATATTCAGTAATAATGACAATACATACCAAACCAAACCTGGTAATTCCCAGTATCATATCTCAACCGATATTCCCCAATTGAATAATCTCAACCTATTCTAAGTTACCAACCAATTTATAATGGT